TGAGAATGCTTTCTATGTGACTACTCGGACTACTTAATACTCATTTAATTTTGCCAGTTACGTTAAAGGCCCGTTAATCCCAAACTCATGTATTCACAACACTCCAGGTGCCTGCATAGCTTGGCCCTCTAGCCTTCCTTTATTCTTCCATTGATAAGATATGAAAAGATGAAAAAGAAGCTGAGGTACCAATTTCCTGCACAGTGGGATGGAGGTGGCCAGGAAGTATGGTACTGTGAAGGAAAGATGCTATGAAACTCAGATCTTGGGCCCTGGCCTCCTCCCTCAGCCAAGCCAACTGTTTAAATAATACTGTGTGGCTTCCTCTGCAAATAGCCACTGAAGTAAACTAATTGATGGAGCATCAGCTTAGTCTGTAGGAGACTTCCTGTTATTTCTCTTCTGATGTACATACAGCACCAAGAAGAGGAACGGCATCATTAGTTTTGAGGCAGTCTGTCAAGAAAGAAGAAAACTGCCTGAATTCTGCTTGGAAATAGTTACTAAGACTGGTAAAATGGTTACTGCTATTCAATTTGTAGTTAATCTGAAAATCATAAGGTGCAGTCCCACATGTGAAAATGATGCTTCTCCTTGGCCACAGTAAGTAACTTTGGTTTCCTTTCTAGTGTAGAACTTGCCTTTAGAAAAAGACACCCCCTGGTCTCCCTTTGGCCCACCAGGAATCCAGCAAATGGGAACACGAAGCAGAATGAGCTCTGGAACCAAGCCTCATTAGCATAAGGTTTCTGCCTCCTAGAAAACCATTTTGTTTTCTTTTTTACTTATAACTGTAAAGGTCCATATTAAAAAAGAAGAAAAATCTCAAATCCTCTTAAAAAACTAGAAAATGAAAAGCAAACCAAAACTAAAGCAATTAGAAAGAAAATAACATAAATTAGAGCGGCAATAAATGAAGTAGTGAATATAAAAAGCAGAAAAATCAAAACTAACTTCTGATTCTTGAAAATATCTTGACTAACCAAGAATGAAAGAGAGAAGACTCAAATTACAAGAGGTACATTACTATTGACATTGTAGAAATTAAAAGGATGATAAGAACACTATCAACAAGCGTATGCCAAGGAATTAGATAACATAGACGAAATGGAAAAATTTCTAAAAAGACACAAACTACCTGTGACGGTAAATACTGAGTGTCAACTTGATTGCATTGAGGGATACAAAGTATTAATCCTGGGCATGGCTGTCGCCAAGAGAGATTAACATTTGAGTCAGTGGGCTGGGGAAGGCAAATCCACACTTAAATCTGGTGGGCACAATCTAATCAGCTTCCAGCAAATACAAAGCAGACAGAAAACATGAAAAAGCAAAGATGGGCCTAGCCTTCGAGCCTCTATCTTTCTCCTGTGCTGGATGCTTCCTGCCCTAGAACCAGATTGGCTCTCCTTGCTCCTCAGCTTGTAGATGGCCTATTGTGGGACCTTGTGACCGTCTAAGTCAGGCGTCCCCAAACTATGGCACGCAGGCCACATGTGGCCCCCTGAGGCCATTTATCCAGCCCCCAACCACACTTCAGGAAGGGGCACCTCTTTCATTGGTGGTCAGTGAGAGGAGCACAGTATGTGGCGGCCCTCCAACGGTCTGAGGGACAGTGAACTGGCCCCCTGTGTAAAAGGTTTGGGGACACCTGGTCTAAGTTAATACTTAGTAACTCCCCTTTATATATACAAACATATGCCTCTCTATATATCGCATACATATATAGAGGCACATGTATATATAAAGGTGTGCATACACACACACACACACTCATACAAACACACACACACCCCCTATTAGTTCTGTCGCTCTGAGAGAACCCTGACTGATAAACTACCAAAATAAGAAGAAATAGAAAATCTGGACAGACTATTAACAATTAAATATATTTAATTGGTAATCAAAGCTTTCCACAAAGAATTGTGCAGACCCAAATGGTTTTACTGGTAAATTCTAAACCTTTAAAGAATTAAAACAATCTTCACAAACTCAAAAACAGCAGAGGGAAAACATTCCATCTCATTCTATGAGGCCCTAATGCCAAAAACAAAGACATCACAAGAAAAGAAAAAAAGTATTAATTGTATCTGTAGTGGGTAGAAACGTGTCCCTTAACTGAAGTGAGAATGAGCCACTATAACTGTAATTTGAGCAGACATCTCAGAATGTTACAATAAAACATGCAGAGAAGAGAAAGAAGCTGAGGTCTTCCAGAACTGATAAAAGATATCAGTACACAGATTAAGAGACTCAGTGAATCCCCCAAAAATAAATGGTAATCTATGCCTTAGTAGTGCAACTGCACAAAGCCAAAGACATATATACAAACACATAATCTTAAACCAAATCAGAGGAAAAGCACGTAACCTGTCTAGGGCTTGACTGACAACTGACTGACTCTTCAAACTGTTAAGTCAGAAACTGTAGAGGCGCTGGAGGTAGGAGACAGGAGGGGAGGGAAGGAGAGGGGAAAAGTGGAGAAAGGATGGGAGGGGAGGAAGGCAGGGGAGTGGAAGAGAAAGAATATTCCTCAATTCACATTATGAAAGTAGCATAATTTTGGTACCAAAAGCTGACAAATACAGTGTGACGAAGGAAAAATTATAGGCCAATCTCTCCTATGGACATAGATAAAAAAGAAAACCCTAAACAAAATATGAGCAAACCAAGTTCAGCAATAACAATAATACATCAAAACGTGGCACATATACACCATGGAATATTACACAGCCATCAAAAATGATGAGTTCGTGTCCTTTGTAGGGACATGGATGAACCTGGAAACCATCATTCTCAGCAAACTGACACAAGAGCAGAAAATCAAACACCGCATGTTCTCACTCATCGGTGGGTGTTGAACAATGAGAACACATGGACACAGGGAGGGGAGCACTACACACTGGGGTCCGTTGGGGGGAAATGGGGGAGGGACGGGGGGTGGGGAGGTGGGAGGAGATAGCATGAGAAGAAATGACAGATACAGGTGAGGGGAAGGAAGGCAGCAAACCACACTGCCATGTGTGTACCTATGCAACAATCTTGCATGTTTTTCACATGTACCCCCAAACCTAAAATGCAATGAAAAAAAAAAAAAAAACAATAATACATCATGACCAAGGTAGGTTTTTATCAGGCATGCAAGGTTGTGGTGCATTAATACAACAGAACGCTATAAGGTAAGAAAAATAAATGAACTACAGCCACATGAAACACGGATAAAATCTCTGTTAAGGAAAGGAAGCAAGACACCAAAATTAACGATTCCATTGATAAAGTTCAAAACCACGCAAAGCGAAACTTAGGCTTACTTAGGTTGCACACTTTAAAGAAAAGGAAATTACTTTAAATGCCAAAAGAAGGCTTGCCCCTAGAGGGTGGTACATGACGTAGAAGGAATATACTTCTGGCAAACTGGCGATATTCTGCTGGGTCACTTTGGTAACGGTTATTCAGATGTTCTTATTTTGTAGTTATTCACTATAAACTTGTTTTGTGTGTTTTCTAAATTTCATTATTTCACCTGGCAAAAATACTATATTCAAACTTTATAGAAATAACAAAGAAAAATAAGTCTCCAATAATCCTAAACCGTTTTCTTTTATATGGCATATACTTTAATTTCATTAATTTTGCTATTTTAGGGAAGTTCTGTGAGTCTGCCCCTATGCCACCATCTTCCTATACTAGATTAAGTCCTCTGATCCTATTTCTAGTCCAAGTCACGTGACAAGGCTAACTCCATCTGAGGTCCTTTTTGGAGACAGAGTCTTGCTGTGTCACCTAGGCAGGAGTGCAGTGGTGTGATCTTGGCTCAATGCAACCTCTGCCTTCCGGATTAAAGCAATTCTGACTCAGCCTCCTGAGTAGCTGGGGTTAAAGGCACATGCCACTATCCCCAGCTAATTTTTGTATTTTTAGTAGCGATGGGGTTCCACCATATTGGCCAGGCTAGTCTTGAACTCCCAACCTCAAGTGTTCCGCCCACCTTGGCCTCCCAAAGTGTTGGGATTACAGGCGTGAGCCACTGCACCTGGTCCCATGTAAGTCTTTATAAGGACATCTAACATATCCCAGGGACTTTGAATAGCAACCTCTTCCCCCATATTCCTCCCATTCCCAATACATTTCTTCTCTAAACAAAACATTCTGGGTCTTTCATGTAACCCCATGGGCATTTTCCAAGTCTCTAATTTCCAGAGCAGCTTCATATCTGAACAGTTCCTTTAAGCATGGTACACAGACGGAAACATTCTGGGTATGAACAAATTAAACCGTGACTTCTACGCTACATTCTCTACCTCTACCACATGGAAGAGACGGAAGATACTGCAAATATGGACTTAAAGGCATAAGGCCCTGCATTTTAAGTCACTGCTCTGGTCTCAACGTGTCCCCCAAAATTTATGCTGGGAACTTAGTCTCCAATGCAACAGTATTAGGAGGCAGAGCCTAATGGAAAGCGTTAAGACTGTGCCTTTATGAATGCCTTATAGTGCCCTTATAAAATGAGCTTGCGGGAGTGGCTCTTTTCTAGTCCTCTGCCATGTGAGATCACAACATTCCTCCTCTCTGGAGGACATAGAAATGAGGCACCATCTTGGATCCAGAGATAAATCTACTGGAGCCTTCATCTTGAACTTCCCAGCCTCCGAAACTGAGAATAAATTTCCATTCTCTGTAAATTGCCAACTCAGATATAGCAGCACAAAAAAGGCAGTGATCACCATTAACTAAAATGTTATGCAGGTTACTAAACCTCTCTGAGCCTATTTCTGTCATCTATACGATGGGCTTTATCTACTCTCTCCAGTACAAGCAAAAACCCAGCTGTTTATGGAGTGCCTCTTACAGCAGACTTTCTGTAAGAGGTAACTAACATTAACAGTGTAAACTAAGACCGTATCTCTCAGTAACCACGTAATACTGTTTGTTCTTGCTCAAGAGTTACTCAATATTGGTCACAGTTCAGCTGCACAAAACAGAATCCATTCTGGTTCAGGAGAAAAACATTTAAATTTTATTGACAACAGAAATAATTTTTAGCCCAACGCAGTATGCAAAAATGCTGGCAATGTCCCACTGAGTTGATTTCACGACTCATTAATGAATTGTAACCCACAGATGGACAATTACATTGCAGGGTATTAAATGGACTGGAGAATCACCAGTAAAGAAGAAACACAAGCCTGTGCTTCCAGAACCTGGGTGGCTGAGCGAGCTGATTGCTCCGGAAGCACTCCATGAGTATGACCCACATCCTCAGAACGATGTCTGGTGTCTCATAGAATCTGATGGACAAAACCTAAGTGACACCCAAAACCCTGATACAAAGGAATCAGAAAAATACAGTGAAGAAAAGAAAGCACACTAGCAGAAACTGCCAAAATATGTTAATCAAGCTAGGCCACAGACTCAGTCCCCTATCTGCAATGACATGCTTCTTGTATGTATTTACTCAAGTTATGCGTGTGAGATGGAAAAATCTGGTAGCCGAAGTATACATTATTTGTCTTATCCCTATAAAAGGCATATTTTCTTGATTACAGCCTACTGCTACTTCCCTGAGGGAAACTCATTAACTACAACAGTACAATTTGCCTAATGAGATGAAATTCAGGGGAACAAAGGAAAGGTAACAAATCACCAAGCTACAAGTCTTTCACAAACACACCTCTACACAGTCAATAGAGGATTTATCCAAACAAAGATTAATAATGGAGAAATAAGCTGAGGATTCTTTTCTCATCCTCATCACAAAGAATCTTAAGATTAAAAAGTTTTTAGACTACTGGAGAGAACAGAAGAAGAAATAACTTCAATCTCTCCTATTCACTTTTAGTTCTTTTAGTTCAGCTTCTGCAAGATTTTATACCTGTGAAAGAATTTAGGTTTACTGAATAAAAAGTATCGCTTAAGATTTAAAGCAATTAAAGCAAAATAAGTTGCTCAATGGGTATCATTTGAGTTAAATAATAGTTTTTTAAATTCTGTAATCGATGTACATTTGATTTTAAGAAGACACTGTTTACATCAGGTAACTATAAAGCAGTTCACATACAACCATCAATTGCAGAAAAACAAAGTTTCTTTACAAAAACAAAGTTTCTTTAATCATAAAAAAAAAATTAAAGAATGCAGTACTTTTAGAAGGTAAAGCTAGTAAGTTTACAGAAGTACAAAACACCAAAACACTTTAAGCAAAAACTCTCTGTTTTTAAGAAAAAGGTATGACTTCTGGTTTTCTGTTCTTGGCTTCAATTTTAATTCTTCCCAGTGGAACCAAAACCTCCTGAACCCCTTTCGGTGTCATCCAAAGCCTGAAAGATACAAAGGTGGTAAAGCGTCACCGCTTTTTTTTTAGAACCTCTTTCAGTTTTCCTCTCTAGCTCCTAAGAAAAATGATATAGCCAGAATTCTCCTGCTATGTCATCTTTTCAAAAGGGAGATTACAGAATGAAAAAAATTAAATTCTAAAAAGTTCCATAAATTAGAATATTGGATAACTAAAAAATTCTAAGAAAATATCAGAAGTTCAGATATTTAAATAACTTATCCAAATACTACACACCTACATAAAAAACATTTTAAGAAATTCAAAACTAGTATTTCAAATTTGCCTAAGTTTAGTCATACAGCATATTAAACCCTCAAGATGACATGTATTTCTTCACTTAAGAGGTTATATCACTTATTCTCTGAAAGCTTTTATAACACTTACTTGAACTTCTTCTATTTCTGGGTAAAAAATCCGTTCACAAATGAGCTGTGCAATTCGATCGCCTTTTTTGACTTCAAAGAAAGAACAGTTTATTACTGACGTTATTGACACATCTACATCCTGTTTTATTCAATGAGAATTAAAGGAGTCAATATTATTCACACATACATGACTCCAAAAATTCACTAAAATTAGGTGAATGCATATATTTAACATACCTTCAAACTTTTCTTTGCCAAAATTAAACAGTACAACACCAACGTTTCCTCTATAATCTTCATCTATGACACCAGCTAGAGAAAAGAAAAATAACAGTATCTCGATTTTTCCTATTGGAATACTAGAGGTGTAAGATTATCTTAAAATCATTGTTAGGTAGCTCTGAGATTTTTATTCGTACAGTTGAATAAGTGACTCTTGCCCTGGTACTATATAAAGCCTTAAAACCAAGAAAACAGTATTACTAAAACACAAAAATTCAGAAAACAGGTCCTAATTTTCCAAATTGTCACTCTTTATCAAATGGCAACCATTTCCTATTTTACGCTGGGAGTAGCAATGACCATCTCCAACCTACTGTCTAAGCACCGCACACTTGCCAAAAAGACTGGAAGAAAATTACAATTTGGGTTTTAAAGGCTTTTTCCAGGTATCAGCTTCCTGCTAATACCCATATTGAAATATGACTGAGTCGTAAATAAAAATGTCGAAAAGCCTAAAGCTCTGCAATATTTGAATAAATCAACGCTGACACTGTTAGGCAGCAATCTTGCAAATATCAGAACATTCCATTTTTACACTAAAAATGAAGCTGAACTTTTCAGTTTATAACCTTCCTCTCCTTTTAATTTGAACGACTGTCCTCTCTTAGAGCATGATTTCTCAAAAGACAGTAGCACAGAGGCTTCATAATGAGTACAACTTTTTATGTGTAACCAACACTTGCTTGAGATCATGAACACAGGGAGAAGATCTATGCAGGGGAGACTTGAGCCAGGTGCCTGACACAGCCCAGAGAGTTACACTTACCAAACTTGCTCGCATTTATTTTTTTAAGCCAAGAATTTAAAATATTTCTATAAACACAACACAGATAATGCAGGTGCACCAAGCCTTTTCATTTTTTTTTAATTGATAAATTACTCACAACGCATACAATTCATCCATTTAAGTGTACAATTCCATAGTTTATAGTGTATTCAGAGTTGGCCAAATATCTCCAGTCAATTACAGCACATTTTCATTACCCTCCCTCCGAAAATCCCCTACCAATTAGTAGTCAGTCCTCTTCATCCCCCCACCCCAAATTTCCTGCTATACATGTTAATTTTTCACCCTCAGTTTGTGAAAGGCTGGATAGGACTCACATGAATCTAACTGAATACAGCTCCACATCACATCTTAACCTCTTAACACCCTATCCTCAACAAAAACCCTTACGAAGGAAAAAATATGAAATAAAAATAATCACGTGTTCAGCTCAATGGGGAGTAATGCTATCTGTCCACACTCCTAATTATTTGAAAGCTAACTAGAAAAACAAACCAAAACCCCCAAAACATACCCACCCCCCTTTTTTAAGAATACCCTTTCAATTTTCTCAAATACGGGCGGGGGGAAAAAGCAAACCCTTAGGTCCACCACGGGGAAAAACACTCAGCAAAAACATTTTAGATTTTCCGAATGGATTACAACATAAGTTTAAATGAACTCTTGTGCTTTATGAACGAATGACTAGAGACAAGTGAATCTGAACTTTAGCGCTTTTTAAAGGTTCCTGATGCATTTTTATGAGAACAAGGGTGAGTATAAAACTGGGCAGAAAAGTAACAAAGGCAGTTCACCTACTGTCTGGTCTGAAGGAAACAATCAATTATTGAACTTGACCAATTCGAATACCAATCCCTGGTTTATTCCCCACACTCAGTTGGCCATTAATTTAGACCTTAATATTTATGAAAAAAAAATTGATATAAAGATGAGATCAGCTGTTTTCCACATTATGTATAAAAAATGTTGACTGCAGGGACAATTTAAATTAGATTTACTGAAGAAACCCCTCAACATAGCATGTTGTTCCATGCTAGAAAAAATGGCCACAGTAGGCTAGAGAATTTCCATGCTGGGAGATTTTGAGGTACAGGCTAATAATTCATCTGTCTTGAATGAGTTAGAGAAAGACAATATGGACTGACTTCTGAACTTTTCTGTTTCTACTTTATTCAAAAATTTAAAAATAACCAAAATAATACAAATACATATAAAGTAAAAACTTACTCTCTTACCCTCCCTGAGGTAGCCAATGTTACAGAAATATATCTTACAAACTACTTTACTTTTTTCTATTTAGAGGATCATAGATACAGAAATACAGTACCATTCTCTCTCAGCTGTTTTCCACATTATATATTAAAAATGTTGACTGCAGGGACAATTTAAATTAGATTTACTGAAGAAACCCCTCAACATAACATGTTGTTCCATGCTAAAAAAAAATCGCCACAGTAGGCTAGAGAATTTCCAGGCTGGGAGATTTTGAGGTACAGGCTAATAATTTATCTGTCTTGAATGACTTAGAGAAAGACAATATGGACTGACTTCTGAACTTTTCTGTTTCTACTTTATTCAAAAATTTTTAAAATAACCAAAATAATACAAATACGCATAAAGTAAAAACTTACTCTCTTACCCTCCTTGAGGTAGCCAACGTTACAGAAATATATCTTACAAACTATTTTACTTTTTTCTATTTACGGGATCATAGATATGGAAATACAGTACCATTCTCTTTCCTTTATTCATTTTTTTGAGACAGGGTCTCACTTGTTGCCAAGGCTGGAGTATAGTGGTAGGATCGCAGCTTACTACAGCTTCACTCTCCAGTGATTCTCCCACCTCAGCCTCCGGATGCATAGGCACTACCACACCCGGCCAATTTTTTTATTTCTTGTAGAGAGAAGGTATCCCTATGTTGCTCAAAATGAGCCTCAAACCCGTGGGCTCAAGCAATCAATCCATCTCAGCCTCCCAAAGTGCTGGGATTACAGGCATGAGCCACCACGCCCAACATGTACCATTATTTCTATGTAACCATTTTCTTATATAATAGCAGACACAGGCTGCTTTTACATTTTGCTATAATAAATGAAGCAGCCCTTAAATACATCTTTGTACATTCATGCTTTTTATTTTCATCAAATAGGTTGCAAAAAAAAGATTCCATCAGCAATATTTGAAAATGCCCATTTCCAAAATCCTTGTCAATATCTGATGGCAGCAATTTCCTACATTCTGGCCAATATGATGAGTAAAAAATGGTTATCTCATTGCCTTACTTCTCATTCTTTGATGACTAGTGAGGCTGGACTTTTTCCCTCCTGTTTGTTGGACATTTGAATGTCCTTGTCTATATTTTCATGTTTTTTTCTCATTTGTTCTTTTTTATAGAAGTTGCAAATATTTGCTTATTGGCTTTATAGTATCTTCTAACATACAAAAACACTCCTTTTAGTAAAGGCCTCTGCTATGTATCTGTAAAGTAGTTGTATCAGAACCAATTTTATGTGTGGTACATAAAAATGTGAATAACCCTTAACTGATTAAAAGAAATTAAGAAATTTGAAGTCAATTAAAATGTATGGCAGAAAAAAAGGCCCTCAATAGTTGTTTTTTTTTTTTACCATCAGTGCTGAAGGTATCAAAATTTCAGCAGTTCCCAATTCATTTACTACCCAATTGCCATGTGACCTTCAAGAAAAGCCTTCTCTGCTTACGGGATGTAAGTATCAGGGATATTTCTCCTCAGAGAAGGCAGAAAGTATCTTGAAGTTATCACTGGAAAAATCATGCATTAGAACTGGCAGAGTGATTAACTGACTTCAGGCAAAAGTTTTACTGTGTCAAGAGTTTGGCATGTCATTTGTTGGAAACCTTTTTTTAGTGAAAAACTATCCACACCTACCAGATGTGAATTTTGAACAGAATCCTGCATGCTCAACTTTTCCCTTTGACCCTTATTTACAGCCTGGGATTTCTAAGAACATCTCTCTTCAGAAATAAAAACTGTTGCCAATTATGATAAACTTGTGCCTAAGGGGCATTTTTAAGATTCTCTGCATCCAAGAACATACCACAATGTGATTTTATGAATAACACCATACCAAACACCAGGCAAACTAACTTTCCGTTCTTTTACATAAAGTTTTTTCCAGCAAGTTGTTTTAAACAGAGCAAAAATTAGTAACAACGCCGAAAAAAAGAAAAAGTTTACACATAAAAACAATCTGTGAAGTCACTAAGGATAGAAATTATACCTCACAGAATCTACTATGCGCCAAGCACTATATATTTCCTATGCATTATCATTTAATCTTCCCACCTCTCAGAGGCTGACGCACTAAGTTCCTCGGTAAGAAGAGGAAACTGAGGCTCAGAAAGGTTAAGACATAGCTAGTTAGTGACAGAGCTGGGACCTAAATCCAGTTGTTATTCCAAAGCTCCCATTCCTTGCACAGTCATTTGAAACTTCATTAAAAATACGTACAATCATTGATATCCTTCAGTGACAGTCCCAAATAACATAGCTGACCTTGTGAAAGCATTTTTGGACATCAGGCATAACTTACAGAGCCCAAGGACTCCTCAACCTAAGAGTGGCTGTCAATTTCCATCCCTGCTATGTAAAACTCAGCTCCCCTTTAGTCCCTGAGACAGAACTATGTACTTTTGGAGTCCTGTCTTGTCCCACAGCGCCACCTAGTGACACTGGAGAGACACCACAGACGCCAAATGTTACGACTGAGGGGTAGGTCTAGGATAGCCAGACTTCATTAAGTGCTTAGTTAGCCCTCGCAGTGCCACGTAAAAGTGAACTAATTCAGGACAGTGTTTAGTTGGTGAGGGGGATGCAGCAGGGTAATCTCCACACTTAATTTCAGTGGAAAGAACAAGGGGAGGGAATCACACCGAGATTCCAGTTTTTACCACATATCCATGCGGACTCATTTCTGAGCCAGTTTCCTGATCTGTTTAAAAGCCTCCATAAAGTAGCTCTGTAAAAATGGGTGGAGAAGGAGATCCAGCACACCTACTTATCTGGGGGCCAAGGTATCTTGTTAAATGAAACATTCACTACTGATGGGATAAAGGGTCAGTATACAGGGACCACGACTGGGGTCTGAATCCCAGTCAGAGGAGATCTGAAGCAAGGAAAGCAGAAATTTCCTTACAATAAGGAGGGTAGCTCTGTAGGTTAGAAATCCTACAGAAGGGACTTCCGCCAAGATGGCCTATG